TTCTCCACAAGATCTATCCACTGCCACATGGGTGTTTTGTTTTGTTTTTGTTGTTTTTGCTGTTTTTTCCGGCCACAAGATAAGTGCTTCCTTACAAAATCATCTAAAACCTAATTTTAAAAGGATATTCATATGGTCTTTTTTACATGTGCTACGGAAAATGCATAAAATAATTCACATTTTTTATAATGTATATACCAGCAAAACAACTTGTGAAAATGTAGTCCTATCTCTGTAAAAGTCATTAGGAATAAGTTACAAGAAAACATGAGCAAAAATGTTACACTTTGTTTAAAAGATTCCATGTCCAGACTAAACACTCAAGCCAATTCTTTAGAAAGATCTTGAAGTGTTGCAGCAGTGATTTTTAGTAAGTAATATTCTCAGCAAATGCTGTGTTTTAATCAGCAAAAGAGCATATCAGATGGTTGCAGATAATATGTATGATGATACCATGTGTATTAGTTTTCAGTGTTTATTGTTCTAGTGCACCTGAAATCGATACATGTATGTTGTTGGACTATTCAAAACAGCTTTAATAGAAGAGTTATATAAGAAAGCAGATGTGGAGACTTCTGATAAAATACTAGAAATGTCTACGCTGGTAAGCAGTGTTTGGTTTTTATATGTAAAACTGAAAGGATTCAAAATAATCTTAACAGTTCAGCATTTTACAATGTTATGAAATAAAATAATAGTTATGCAATTTTGAAAGCTGTATGTACACACTAGTGTGAAAGAAATGGCAGTGAAAACATGGTAATTTCCCCCAGTCTTCAGGCTCACTCCTTAGCTGGTATAAATCAGTACAGTTCCAGTGGGGTCAGTCAGATCATAACCTTATAAAGCACAAACTTCAGACAGCTTTACAGATTCAACATATAAAAATGAAATTAAGAAGATAATGTGTCAAGGTCTGTCCTTAGTATATATTGAGAATCTCTCACACTACAGCAGGAAAAGATATACTGACAGATATATTCAGAGGGTATATTCAGTTCCTTTCTTCTTGTTTCTGTTTTCAATCAATTGTTATTTCATAGATATACTTTTGCACCACATCTTTTTTTCACTGGAACCTGCTAATTCCTTTCATAATTCTTACTTCTTTTAGTGCAGAACAGCCTTATAGAGATGACCAGATTTTACAAATTTGCAATTTGCAATGTTACATGATTGGTATGGAATATACCAAGGACAGGTTGCTTCCAAGAATTGCCAGACTTTATTGCAGCAACAGACTAGGGGGTTAGCAGGATGAACGGGCTGAAACTTTCCTAGAAACATCTCATCTGTATCATAAACATCCTACAGCAGCACTCTTAACTCATAGAGGGTAAATGATGGGTTTGACGGCCTTTCCTCTGTTCTTGGATTACTTACCAGCAAGTGGTCTATGTACTGCTCTTGAGGCCAGTGGGGCAACTTGTGCTCATGCCCTTCAAAAAGGTTTATCTGCTCAGAGACTTCTAGGAAAAAAATGGAAAAACTCTCTGATATTTTTCCAAACAAGTAATACCAGCATCACCAAAACATTTTATAGTTGTTGTTTTTTGTTTGTTTGTTTGTTAAAAAAAAAAAAAAAAGATATGAAAGCTCAAAAAAATTACTGGCAATACCAGTTTGTCTTCAATGGTTTACTCTATTGCTCTGGCATATATTTAATCAGTTAGGTCTGATGTGACTTTAACTTGGTTCTAACTTCTAATCAGGTGGGATAAAAGTAGCAGAGAAATCTATTTACTTAACTCCTGTCATTTACTAACTGAAAATTAATGATACCTGCCACTGCTAAAGCTCAAAACTGATCTATTTGCATTTTTAACTGTAATAACAAAAGTGGGCTGATAATGTCAATAACCCCAAAGCCAAGATAAATTTAGGTAAGAGTAAACATCTCTGAAGATAATGTTTGAACCTCTGACCTTGGTGCTCAGAATAGAGGGAGCTGTTTCTCATCTACTGTATCCACATAATTATGCCTATCAGCCTGAAAGTTTGCAGTAGCTATGTTCTTATATGAAATAGTTTAACTTTGTGTAGCATGTATGAAATATATATTTGCAGTAGGAACAGAAGTTGTTTTCTTTCCATTTTTCTAATCAATTAAAATTATAACATAAATATACACTGTACAATGCATTTGAACTAAGACAAATATCTCAGTCTTCAGCAGACTACAAGGAAATTAACTGAAATAGTGCCTTGTCAAATTTGGATGGCTTTCCTAGAATAAATTCACATGCACTATCCATGCTTCTACTTCATTATATTATTCCTTGCTTAATTAGATACTAGCCACAGTTTGTTTTGTGCTTTTAATCTTGGTATATTTTACATTGCTTTAGCTAGCTCAGACTGAGTGCTCAGCTAAGTATGGAAGATGATAATTTGTTTAACAGTGTGTTAGATTCATAGAGCAGTTCAACAGGAACCCATTCACTGCACTAATCTCATAGCTCACACTCATATAATTACTCTAGATGTACTGGAATAAATATGCAATATAGTACTTGTCAGTTGGATGCTGGGTATAGCATTCTCTGACCCGAGTCCCAAATGAGGTTGACTTGATGTGGGCTTTTCCATAGGAGGGAAATTCAGGGTCGCTGTCAGAAGACAGGGGAGCTCTGGAAGGAGCCATCTGCCCTCCTCACTCTCAGCTGCTGTCTTTGTAGTCTGGCACCTGGATCCTTCAGCCCAGCCCCCTCCACCACTCCCACACATGCACACTCAACCGCTGCACTCAGGACGGGGGTACACATGTGTCATAATTCTTTTCCTCCACTGGATCTGGTTCTTGGGGAAGGAAGATAGCCTAATGGCCAAGATACTGGCTGCAGGAGGTTTCATTTTCTGTTCCTTGCTCAGCAATTCTTTATTTCAATCCTTTACTTTTCAATGCTTCATCTTTCCCTATGAAAAATGGGGATTATAATCTTCCTTCTGACTATCTAGACTGTAAGTCTAGGCGGTAACCCCAAATCCACTGTATTTCAAACATGAGAAACCAGCACTGCACAGGACTCGCAACCCTCCCTGAGGGGCTGGAGAGCAGAGACTCCAGAGGGAGTCCAGCTGCCCTGCTCCCAGAGGAACTCGGGACAGATCTCCGCGGATCCTCTGTCTTGAGAACCCCTCTTTAGGGAGCGCCCCGGGACAGCCAGCGGCGAGAGGCGCTGCCCAGTGCCCGCTGCCCGGCCCCGCTCCTGCTTCAGCACCGGCTGCGGGCGGACAGCGGCCGGGAGGGCCGGGGAGGGGGGTGGCTTAGAGCAGTGTCCCAGCTTTGGCTGCATTTGGGGCAGGAAGGTTGGAGTGAAACTTCCCTTGGGGTGAGATAGAGGAGCAGGGAAATCCACAGGCAGATAAGGTGAAGTCTATGAGGGCAAATGTATGCGCAAAATAAGTGGGGAGAAAAATCACATAATATTTAACTTGTCATGATGATGCAGTTCTAGGGATGGTTTTAGGATTTTATTTTTTTAATTTTTGTATAGTCAGGGCCCAGTTCCTGAGGGTTTTTTTTGTTTGTTTGTTTGTGTGTTTTTGTATCACAATGACTGCTTGAAGAGAGAGTCCATGAAATACTTTGAGTTAAATATATATATATATATATATATATATATATATATCTGCCTAAAATGAGTGTTTGCTAATACTTGTCATCAAACACAGAAATAATGTTATGTTTTGCTGCTGAATATTAAGCACTTCAGAAAATTAACATGAAGGCTTTCAAAAATGTATAGTTTTCTTGCTAACATACTAGTATGTGCTTGGACAAGTTACACTGCACTTTACCTTTAGGAAATAGTAGGAACTAGAAGCAACATTTTCCACGGTAATAGCACTTAAATAACACTTCAAACTTTGTAGGGTCTTCATTCTGCTCTTGTACCACTAGGTGGGAGTGTTGGAGCTTTTTCCGTGGTTGGTTTGCCTAAAAAGTTGCTGTCGTGTCTTGCTGAATTCCCGGCCACCCAAGTAATCCCTAACTGAATGGTGATGACAGCCCAGTATGGAAATGGGGAATCACTACGTGACCGCCCCCGCCCTCATGCTGTCCCCATCCGCAGGGCAGAGTAACAATACTGCACGAAGTAAGGACCGTCAGCTAATGAAGGCTGTCAGGAATCGGGAGCAGGACTTGTGGCTCTTAATTCCCTTTGGGCAGCTGTGCATGCCTGTAATGGGGACCAGGGTGCAGCCTTTGCAGGGGTGAGGTACCCAGGGCTGGAATTTGCAGTGAAAACATCACCAAGAGACCTGAGAGGATTTCAGAAACTAATTACAGGAGACCAGGTAGAGAATCTAATAATTTAGGGATCTGCTTGGAATGGAAAAGGCAGGCAATGCCCTACATTATCACGAGAGAGGAAAATAATTGATAAATGTTCACCAATAACATCTATAACTGTTTTCATCTCCTGCCTGCAATTTTAGAAACTTGGCTCTACTTCAAAGTAGATTGAAGAAAATAGGACATAAATTTTATAGACTCATTGCAGTTTGATAGTGGTTTATTGTAAATTGGTTCTTGAATTTGCAGTGAATTGTTAATTTGACTGTAGCTGTAGGGATATGCTCAGATACTGACCTATTTCAGACAACCCAAACTCTTAATTGCGTTAAAATGTAGGTAAAGAGAGTATTGCTTCCCAAACTCAGTAAAGATTGGTAGATTTTGAGAGAAAAATTGGAATGTCCAGGGACTTCTTGCTCCTTTAACTCAGAAGCCAAGTAAAAGAAGTCAGAATTAGACCCATTTTACAAATTAATAAAGTGCTGGAAAAGTGAATTAATTACAACACATATTACAGGGCTGCATAGAGTGTTTGCATCTCATACAACACTTATGCATATAGGGACCTAAATTTTGTTGGTACATGAGTAAAGAAAAGCTGCAGTATAATTTGCCAAAAGATCTTTTGAATCCTCAAGAAAGTACTAGGAAGAATGGCCTTTGAGTGGATGCTTAAGCTTTCAAAAATACTACTATATTTAAATACCAGTAATTGCACATTTATTGCACAAATTAAGAAAATCTGCACAATTAAAAGAGAAAAAGTAGAAAATAGCCTTCAAGCAACAATATATTTAAATCATTAACTGAAATTCCCTTACACAACAGAGAAACTGCAGTTTGTAACATGAAGGCAAATCTATATTGTGATGTTAAGACAGCAAAAGAACAACCAGCACATTTTACTTCATTTTCAAACATTGGCTGTTAAACTGAAGAATTTACGTGTGGCCAAATGAGTGATGGTTTGGCCCCATTCCTTTGTGCCAGTCAGGCATGCTACCTGCAATGTGGAGAGAGGGGTACTCTCCCCTCTGTTCATGCATTCACACAGTGTTACTGTCTGAATTATAAAGCCTCCTTCTGATCCTGCAGGAGAGGCTTTTGCACATCTAACTAAGGACATCTAACATTTAACATTTTGCACATCTAACCATCCTAGAGGTATGATCTAGTCCCAGATTGCTTTCTTCTATGGGAATCTTCTAAATAACATTTAATATTTAGCCATAATTGAGACATTTAAAAGCAAACATATTTAGAGTAACTGATGTTTAGAACAGCTATTTCCCCATTTTCTAGCAGTGTATCACTTTTTACTCCATGTAGTTTAAAAACTAACATCAGATTTTCATTACATTTAGCTTTTTAGCCCAAGGTAAAACTTGGTCACAGATTTTTCCTGTTAAACTCCATAGGGATGATGGCCATTTTTCACAGAAGCTTACATTACACCAGAGTCCTCCTTACACTCTGGGGCTAAGATGACCCCTACATCTTCTATTAGCACATGGCCCCATGAGGCAAGCTTCTGTAAATTTCCAATAAGTTCATTAGAGATCTGAGACAAAGCAAATACCTTCCTACATGGAGATACAGAATTCAGAAACAGCTGAGTTCCAGCAACCCGAACATCAGGCTGAAATAACATGGCAAAAGATGATGCAGTATAGATCAAAACATAATATATATTCCTGTACATGATGAGAGCACTCACTAAATATAACATTTTAAGCATCTGAATAGAAAATAAATTAATAAAGGAAAACTCTGTTTCAGGAAAGAGTGACTACAAGGCAGGAGACAGATACTTTTAATTCACCACTGTCTAAGTGGGAGGGGCTACTAACAAGCAAAACTGCTTGTTAATAACCCAAAACATGGTCATGGTCATTTGTGTATGAAATTATGGGATCAAAAATTCACAGATATATCTTTTGGCAGTACGGCAGACTTCATCCACCCACTTGCCTTGTGATGAAAAAAAGACACAATTTTCACGCTTCCCCCCATTTGGTTGGGCACGATCCCAGTTGAAGTACTGTAGAGCCATGCCATTGACATCAACAAACTTCCCTTCGTTTACCATGTCATTGACACCCAGCCAAAACTCAGACACTCTAGGCATGCTTTTCTTGCCATAGTCTCGAAGAGTATTTGTTTCATCGCTATTCCTTGGGATAGCCAGAGTCCCTCCCTTGGCTATGCAGTCTTCATTGGCTTCATGAAAATGCTTGGTGCCTTCTGATATGAGGTAGCACTTCTTATGGGCCTTTGTCCCACGAAGACAGACTGTGAACAGATATTGGTTTGCAGCTTCAGTAAAAAGTAAAAGCTTTGAATGATGTTTCCTAAAATGATCGTTTTCTAAAGATCTATCCCTTCAAAATCTAAATTGAAATGAGGTAAAGTGGCTTAAATCTATAAAACCTTTTTGAAAAGCTAGAGCACCCTCACCACTGAGCTTGCGTGACAATCTGAACAAAGTAATATAAACATTTGCATTTATAAATCTGTTTGGCTTTAGTTCTACTGGAACATATCAGGGAAGTCTTGCTGTAAACTACAAGTATACTAGAACATGACTTTGGCATCTGCTCTGTGACTGAAATTGCCTTGCAGAACCATTGTCAGAGTTCTTCCAGCCTGAGATGTGTCTGGGCAGGCTTGCAGGAGTCAATCCTTAAGCTTCACTCTCCAGCTCTCCTAATGCAGGTATGTGACAAATATGACTCTCACAAGAAAAATTACAAGAGAACTGTCCTCAGAGAAGTGTTGCTTCTGAGTTGATGAAAGTAGCAAAGGGCTTGAATAAAATAGTGCAATAGTTATTTTTAGAATCTGCATCTGACTACTTCCATCCCATTTCATTTATTGCTTAAACTCATCTTGTACTTATGTTAGAAATGTCATGAAACAAGATGAACATCTTCTGCCCTGATGTTTTCTATAGTCTGTTTCTAATTCCTGTCATCTGTTCTAGTTAAAAAATAAATTAAAAGGTAATTATGTATCTGATCAATGGAATATTGAAATCCAATCTGGACCATATCCTATGTCTAATTTTTTTTAGTAATTTTAGTTGCAATTGTCATTGCATTCCTTGGCTGCATTTTCTAGATAACCTCTTTATATTTGTGCTTATACTTCAGACTTTGTCCTTTCCAAGTGCTAAGCTAGACAATGAGCAAAGAAAAGTAATGAAGATATTTGCTAAATTTTTAATTCTTTAACAAATTTATATTCATAGGAAAGATCAGAGAGACCTTATCTACTTCAACAAGGATGCAGTAATGATGGAGACCAGCCCTCTTTAGGGAGGAAGTATGTGCTGCTAAATGGCAAGTGGCAACATTTCACCATATGCAGAAAGGAGAACTAGGAAATTCAAGCAAAAGAAGGAATCAGATTGTATTATTCCTTCAAAGTGCTTGCAGCTAAAAAATCTACTTTCTGAAATATCATAAAGGCGTTAATGAATGCAGTCAGAGCTACAGGGGTCATAGGTCTCTTTTTGCCAAATTTGGAATCCAGTTGAACAGTGTTGGTTCTGAATTTAGAATACAGCTCAAAATAAGTTTTGAGTATAGCAAATCTCCTGGCTCTGGTTTCATTTCTAAGCCACTGCATACTTACTCTCAAGCTCCTTCTGGAAGCAATACAAGAACTACTTTTAAACAAGAACTACTTGTCTAGCATGGTTTTCCTCTTTGAAGAAATTTCTAAAGTCCTCTTATAAGAAATTTAAAAGAAAAATATTTAATAAAGCTCAAAAAACTCTGTGTAACCCAAAATGCAAAACAGGACATCCCAGATATTACCATCCCTAAGCAAAATATGTTCTATTTCATGTGAATGATGTAATTTCCTCTGTAGTGTCCTCCTGAATGTGTTTAAATGCCAAGTTTTGTGTCAACAGCTGTGAAAAAGCAGAACTGTCTAGTAGGTGTGCATGTATTTACCCTTCTTATTTTGTTTGGAAATTTCCATCTGACTATGAAATATTTAAAGGACTCTGCACATTGATATAGGATACTTCTGAACTCACAATGAACGCTACGTAGAAATTGTAAGGCAACATTCACGTTTGCATTCAATGTTGCAATCTGCACACCTTAAGAAAACTCAGTCTTTTTTTTTTTTTTTTTTTTTTTTTTTTTTTGAGATTCTCATCCTTTTCCATGGCCATTTTTGTCTTGATCATTAGCCCATGTTTATTTCTGAGCTGGGAACCCAACTCGTTGACCATCTAAACTTTCAAACCCAGCAACCCTCATGCCCTTTTCTGGTTATGTCTAGAGTGCCCAAGAAGGCAAAGGCAGTCCTTGCTCCAGAATGATTATTGCTCTTAGTGAAGAGCCACCACTTGTACACCATTAGTTCATACTTGATTTTCCCCAAATACTTCCTTCAACACTTGTTTTACCATTATAGCAGTGTCATGCTATGGTTCTAAGGAGATGTATTTCTCAGTCACAAATCCCCTTAAAGAGACAGATGAGAGTAAAGAGCATGAGAGAATGAAGGCAATGATAACTTCTTGAAACCATTGACCAGTGTAAGCTGCTTTACCTGTTTGAAGTGCTTGCATTTCTTTGAGAGCATTTACTTCTCGCCACAATTTGTCAATCTGAGTCTTTAGGTCATCTTTTTCTTAAATAAAACAAATACAGAGAAATAAGCAGATATACAAGGAAAAGAAAAAAAATCACATTATTTTTTATATGAACAGCTGTTGGGTTTCTGAGGTTTCTGAGCTAAGGTATATTTTGTCTTTTTTAAGAGTTTTCCTTAATGAAAGGTTTTCTGTAGGGTTAGTATATATATATTAAAAAAATATATACACCATCATACTTTTAATCTTATTTTCAGTTGGACCATATCCTGGTAACTAGTTCAAAATCATCAACTGTTGCTGCTAATCAATATTTAGTTTGCTGGTATCTATTTTATAGCAAAATTTGCCTATTTACTTTTGCACCTGTACAATGTGGTGTGTGGATATACATGTATGTATACATAGATATATACGTATATGTATCTGCTATAAAAATAACAGCAGAACAGAAGTTGTAATTATTCAAAGAAATGTTATTTCTGTGAGCATAAAATTTATACACAAATCTTGTTTTAATACAGTGAAGGACGTTGACATAATCTAAGTTCATTGCCTGAATGCATGCAGACAGGCTTGCTGAGCTGCAGTCTCACGTACCCTGATGGAAGGAGGAGCCTTCCATCAGTACAGAGAAGGCCTGGTGACTTAAGTCACTCACATTCAGCCTAAATCACCATTTTGTGACACTTAGAAAAGTACCAACAAGATGGTGAGACAAAAAAAAAGACATGAATTTGCACACAATAACTCCGTTTCCATGTCTTTTCCGTTTTTCCCCTTAATCGTTATACTAGCCCACCACAATCAAACAACTAGCAGACACGTTTCCATTGCACAAGATTACAATTTGATTGCAGCAGTAACCAGACCTTCCAGAAGCCACAGTAAAGAGCATGAGGAATAAATAAGCTCTTTCACAAGCAGCAGAACTAACAAACCCACAGTTCCTACAGATTCGTGTTACATCACCTAATCCTCCAGCTGCACCCCAGAAAGCTTGTCCCTCCTGCACATTCCCTCCAGTCAGAGGGAGGGACCTTGGCTGTCCTTCGTGACTCCCTGGCTCCCTAGGGCAGAACTCCCAGTCCATGCTTGCTCCTCCCCACAATTCCCATTTCCAGTTCGTAGTGACATCTCCATGTTCCCTGTCTGCTTTGAAAGAGGCAAAAAGCAGAACAGCTGAATGCATGCAGCTGGTACAACCTTTTCATAGTGGCACACAACACAGATTTTTTTTTGCACCCACATTCTGAATTTCACAGTATCAGGCAACTTATCTTTAGTACCTCCATTATTCTGCTAAATTAGTTCAAATGCAAAAGTTATTAGGGGAAAGCTGACAGACAAATGTGCTGGCAACACTAATCTATAAGCAGCATTTCCTTAGGACATCAAGCAAAAAACTAAAGAGATCCAAAGGGAGAAATAAATATATATAACTTTATAGCTCCAAAGCAGCATAATCATGTTGTAAAATGACTTTGTCAAAGCTGTATTTTTTTTCCCACTGACTAGAAGTTTAAATATTTGCCATTAGTGTAACCTCCATCATACACTTTTATTAGAAATAAGCCTTTAAATTAAGTACACAGACTTTTCCAAACACTGGTCAATGGTTTTGTATTTGCTTTGTAAGCTTTGCTCTGGGAATTTATTCTTTTTCTGCTAATTCCTTTTTATTAGTTTGACTTGCCATTTCGCCATACTTCTCACACAAGTAAAGTAATATCCCACAAATATTACACAGGCGTTCTGTTAAAATTAGGAAATGGACAAAAATTTGAACAATACCCTCAAAGCTTTAATATTTTATTCTGTTCTTTTCCATCATGTGTACACGAATTTCTGATCTTAGCCAATATAACTGTGTAACTAGGAATGATTGGCCAGAGTCCTCCCTCAGCTGTACCTGTGAGCCCTAAATAATATCAACAGAAATGAACAGGCATAACCGAGCAAGGTATTTATACCTGCTATACAGCTCTATTTCTATAAATCATTCCAGCACATTATTCTTGGTTTTACTGACACGAAAGTATTTTAAAGGCAAATATAAGATACGATCAACTATCATTTGTTAATAAACATTTGCATAATGCTACTTTCTGATTCATGCAATGTTAAGTACAAAGTAAACTTGGATAGTCTATAAGCCTCTATCCCTCCTCCCAGTTAAAACCCAGTACCTTTCACTCTACGTTTGCTGTGCTTCCTGGCTTTGAATTTGGAAGCCTGGCTGATGGTCTGATCCAGCAGTAAAATACTTATGAGTAGAAAAATCCTAAGCCCGGTTTGTGCCATCTCTTTTCTTAAGAACTTAAAAAGAAGCTTCAAGAAATTCTCTTCAGCGGCTGCAAGAGCAAGTCACATAGACACATCTCACCAGGGACTGACTGAGGTCAGTTTTATAAAAGCGTAGTGATAGGGTTGGCTGCACTCCTTGCTTACGAAATGTGTTTAATACTTAAGCTGGCTGTAGCATAAGGTACCCCCTTGTTCTCACATCTCATCTGAAATTCCTGTTTCCTTTTCGGGTTCAGCTGGGACAGGTTGCTTTTAAGGGCACTGAACAGTGCATGGATTGCCACAAATGAATGCCATTTCTTCAGAGATTAAGTTTTATTTTTGAAGCTAAAGGTATGCATAAGCAGATGGATGCTCAAAAACACCTAGTGCAATGTCAGCCTCAGGAAGGAGGGGGTAGCCAAAAGGTTTCTACAAACCTAACAGGCTCACCCAAGGTGGCTCTGACCCAAGCTGGTTAAGTTTAGACAAAAGCCATGATCTTATTTATATTCAAACAACAACAAAAAGTCACCCATGAGTGAGTATTGCAGCTGTACACAAAAACACAGACATATATAATATATATACAGTATGATCACATTGTTAGGAGTACAGTCCTTATTTAATGAAGAGCTCATAAGCACCTACTAGATATTGCTGCATTTCTGATAATGAACAGGATTTGCTACCAGCAGAGTCTAGCTCAGAGAACAAAATATTGTGACACTCTTCCAAAGGTTCCCAAGTCCCAGCATGGCTCTCAGTAAAACACAAAACACTGGAAGCAGGACAGTGGCTGTCTAGACTCTAGCTGTCTAGTCTTTATTAAATGAATATAGTTATGACAGGGTCCTATCCACCCAGGACTGTCTAAAAAACTGCTCACTGAATGCAAGCTGCCCATTTCAGTGCACAGCTAAAAGTGGAAAAGGCTGTCATTCCTGCTAGCACACCAGAAACCAAAAGGTGAGCTGTCAGAGAGAAAAACAGAAATCTTTGCAAGGGTCTAGTACAAGATTTAGCCTGTCATTTAGAACTAACCCTAAGTTCAGGGTTGATCCATATTTTATCCAGAGATATTAGGGCATCAATGGAAGTTAATTAAAGGCAAACAGCTGAATCAATAGCCTCCAGTTAGATTTTCACTTGGTCCCTTCTCAGAGGCTGTGGAATTGCACATGAAGTGGATCCTGAACCTCTGCAGCTTGTTGCCTGACACACTGAACTCGTGCTGATTTAACTCAGTGAGGGAGCTGGAATCCCAGGAGGTGTTTCAGGTGGAGCTCAGCTGTCCCAGCTGCAGGGCCAGCAGGTCCAGAGAGAGGCAGGAGCAGCACTTGGGGTCAGCAGGCACTTTAGTGTGTCTTTAAAGACATAGCACTATAATGAACTTGTTTCTTCTCATTGACTTTGCTAACAAATGTTTTGTCTGTGAAATGAGTCTGAAAGAAAGAGTTGTACTCTAGTGAGGTAAGCTCAGAACTCACTAGAAATGAAGGAATAAAGAAAACCCAAATTTGGTATTCTGAGAGTCCTTGGCAAAGAGCCCAAGTGAAAGCCTGTGCTTTTTGGAGTATGCCAAGTTATGTCCTTTTAAGAACAGACTGAAACTCTGTTTTGAAAGCTTTATCCACCTTGTTTCAGTAGTCTCTTTGAGCATTTTACAAGCTTAGTTGGGCTTTACTCCTAAAACCCGAATTGTAATGCTCTCTTTGAAGCTGCTGTGAGAAGCCACAGGGTTATAGGGGATTGTTGGTCTAGAATCTGTCTAGAGCATCTGAAAAATAGGTTTCACACTTGTGACTAATCTATAGCAACAGAGAAAGTGAGTTTAACTTCTTGTATACAGTGTGTGGGCAGGAGAGTCAGAGAAAAGTCAAAATATGTTGCTGAGAACATGTAAACTCTCGGTGCTACTGTGAAGAAGCAGAAAATGCCTCCACATAGGAGGCCTAGAGCCTCGCCAAAGTAAATACCAGCCTGTGTATGGTCTAGAAACCGGCATTACAATGTCATTTAGAGTTGTAATTTTTCTTTTACAAGCAGTTATAGTGATATAATATATCCCAGAGAGCAAACAAAGTTATGCATATACAGAAGTAATTTTTCTTGGGACTAATTACTCCACTTTCCCTATCAGAATGTGCTATATAAATATAATAGCTTCATACCTTTACAGCTGCATCCAGACTAGGATGGGATTGTACTTTTTTATTCACACCAGTATAATAGAGCTTCTTCATATAGACAAAACTGTATTTTCTCTTGAAGTGCTCAGCTGGAAAAGAAACATCTTGCAGAAGCCATGGCTGCTGTATGGCGCAGGCACCTGGGTGGTTTTATGGCTCACACTTCCCCAACTCATTCCATTTGCTTTCAAACAACTGAGCCATTCAGAGCATAAGCATCCTTTGGTGAAAAGTTCATTTCAGTTTCTTCACTGAGGCTCTGCAAGGTAAAAAGTCTATTCCCCTCAGAGACAGTTCCACCTTTATGTGCTTCTGTCAACTGGCTCAGAGAAACTCTTTATGCAGCTGTTTTTTCCTCTCCATTCTCAGCCATCTCTGGGTTTGTGGAAAGAACATGCAATTGGGCAAAGAGAATGAGAAGTCAGTGTAAGATGAGGACTGGATGCTGGACTGAGATCCTGAAACAGGTCTGGCTGCAGAAGTCATTTCCTGTTATGTGGAATAAGATCTATGTAGGGGGATCACGTCCTTTGTTATCCCCTGAGGTAGTAGAGCTACGAATAAAACACTACTTGTAAAATATTTTAAAGAAAGTTACTGCTTCAGTCTCAGAAAAGCAAACTACTCCCATATTGCTATTAGGATGTATGTGTTTTCCTGAGGTCTGCAGTCCCCTCCAGGTTTCAGAGCTAATTGCGTTGTGACATGTCTAACCAAAGGAGAAACTGGGGATTTCTATCTCCTGCTGGAATCAGAGCAAGTTTTTCAGCAGCTTTTCAGTTACAGAAAACTCAGATCATCATAGGATTTGGGGAAAAAAGCTTGTACGTGTGTAATTATTTGCCTGTTCTACTCAGAGTGTAAAGAAGAAACGAAAACTGATCAGAGCTGTTACCAGGCTAAGGAATTTCAAGTGGGGCAAACCCAAGGGCCAACATAGCCAACTGAATTAGGTAACACAAAGGTTAGTAAAGGGTTTAGCACCCCCCAGCATTAGTTTTTACAACTGACTTGGGTGGTAGATGGGATCCACTGGCTGATTTTTCATTTGTTTCATTTAAATGCAAGCAATGTTGCAGATTCTGCCAATCATGGAGTATGTCATGCTTGGAAAATTACTGTGTGCTTGGTTTCTTTGGCCTTAAAAAGACTTACAAAGTCTTTCTTAAGGATTTGATCCCAGTCCAACCAGGTATGAAGCAGGATTATGGCTGACATCCCAACACCAAAGTTATTTTGGGGAAATTTGTACAAACAAGCTGTGTGTTTGGAAGAGGGAAGGGCAAACCTTATGGTATGTGAGGTTCTGTGAAAATTCTAGATTATATTTTGGGGTTGTGCAATCAGTTCAGGTTTTTTCCTGTCATACTAATTCGCTCTTTTGAAAGGCAATTTTTAAGCTTTGAGGGTTCTGCTCTGTCTCTTAGAAAAAAAGGAGATTCCAGATTTATTGTGAGCCCAGGCTGCCCAGCAGTGACTTGTGCTGAAGGTCATTGAGTGTTGAAACGAGGGCATTCAGGATACGTAGGTGTGTAAAGCTTCTGTTCCAAATGCATCCTCATCAGGCAGTATGTAACTGGTAATAGGGTTGATCAATAAATAGGCTTTTCTAGTTTTCTTTCTAGTTTCAGGACAGCATTTTGAGCTTCCTGAGTGTTTTTTGTATCTTCTGTTTGAGGTCTTTGCCACAACAGCTTCTCACAGCTGGGCCTGAACAAGCAGAGAGGATGGTAAAGAATATGCAAGAAGCCACACAAGGACTTACATCTATCACACATGTATTTAGGGCAAATTTCTTTTTCTGGGCTGTGTGTCTTGTCTGTGCTCTTTTCATTCTCTTGCAAAGGCAGGGAATAGAGGTTAAGGGTTGTAAAGCTGTAAAAGTAATGCTGATAAATTCAGAAAAGATTCAGAATTCAGAAGGGATTCACCAGATCCGCTCTCTTTGGTTACCCATCCAATGCCACTGTGCACTGATAAGGTTGCCTTCTTACAGGGTTCAGACATCTGAAAGAAGTAGCACAATTGCCAAATATTTTCTGTTACTTCAGGGCTTTAGCAGCAAAAAGAAGTGGTGCTGAGCATTTTGTTCACTGCCATTGCCTATTTCTTTGGGCAGGAAGGACCCCAAGGAAATTGTTCCTTGTCTGGAGTTAAATGCTTTGAGGTTATGTGTAATGTGCAAAGAGAGCAAAATGAAATCACCCCCAAACCAGAGACTGTTTTTACAGATCAGGTGACTCCGTGTCATCTCTGAAGATAAGGGAATTCAGGGGAAAATGTAAAGCTTTGGTTTCTTTGCAATCCAGGTGCAAATAAAAGAGTTGAATGGGGTCTTTTGAAATGCTATTCCTGAGGACTTGGCAAGGTTTCCACGTTGGGAATTACTGGCGGCAGCTCAGTTTGTTTAGCCCTCGGGGTGCGTGTGAGAACGTGTCTCTTTCTCTTTTGTAAACATAAAATACGCGTTGTGCTTATTTTTCTCCTGCAATGTGTGCTGCCTTTTTTCCTTCCAGGAAATGATCTAAAAACATCCTGAGCATTTAATTTCTCCCCTTAAATATTTTATTTTTGATCGCCACGTATCTCTAACCTGAGGTTTTCCAGCTTTACGTTAACACGGTCTTAACAGGTTCTGCTCATCC